ATGATAAGTAAATGTTTCTTGTCTATACTTTCTTCTCTTTCATACCCCAGGAATTTTTGGAGCTGAATACTTTGAAGTTTATAGTAGAGTTGATTATAGTAGAAAGACTATATAACATTCTTTTCTCAATTTAGGTTTTGTTCTTTACTTTTGGCACATATAGTTGATATAAAATAAAGCATCATACTTATTTATGGAAATACACGTTTATGTCACTGGTTGCTTAAGTTAATTATAAAATCCTTTAAATTTCTTTTGCTTTTAGAGAAGACTTGAGGTAGCTTGCCATAAAAGCACATATTGTATTTCAGGGAAATTCAATGTTAAAAGTGAGATTCAAAACAAAATAGGGTGGGGGCTGTAGCTCAGTGGCAGAATGCTTGCCTAGCATGTGTGAGGCACTGGTTTCGATCCTTAGCACCCCATAAATAAAGTAAAAGCATTTAAATAAAACAGTCTCCTCGAAGAAGAAAATTGTTTGGTACCAGGAACAAGGACTACAGTAGTAACTGTTGATATCTGAATTAACTCTGAAGTCCTTGTTTACCTTGAGTTTACAGAAATTGAAAAAATGTGTGACTGTCATAGGGGTCATAACCCACACTACTCTAAGAAAACACAAGATGACAAGAACAAAACATAACAAATTTATTTAGTCAAAGTTTTATATGCATAAAGCCTTCAGAAAGGAAACTGCCCCCAAGACTCAGGCAAAACTATTAATGATTAGGTTTATTAGAGAATGAACATGAATGGAAACAGTAGAGAAAGGGATCTAATGGTAATAGACGAGGTGGACCCAGCAAAATCTGCCCAGATTCTTCTTGGTCCTTCTGTRTAGCCTTTCTTCCTTCCCTTGACCTCTCTTACTAGTGTAATTTAACTTCAAATCCAAATAGTAATCATACTGACTGATAAGAAGTATGTTAAGAATTTCTATGAAAAGCACCTATAGTTTCTTATAGAAAAGAGACTCTAGAGATCTTAGGTAGAATAATAGTACCAATTTTGAAAATGTACCAGGTAGTGGTAATTCTGTTTTTCTCCTCAAAGTCTGTATTCCTTGTGGTTTGGGGCAACTTCTGCTTTAAATTTGGGTCTTACAATACTAAATTTTGTGTTTGGCTCCAGATTGAGAAATGATGTATTTGGGTAGTAGAGAGCATTGTCTGCTACTGAGTATTAACCTGGCCCCTGAAACTTTGGGGACATCTCCTGCACAGCCCTACATTTCACCTTTTATCTGCTTAGATAAGTAGAGGAAACTRGGCTGTTTCTTAGTTCTGATTTTTAAACTTATGTTTCCTCATTTATAAATGAGGATAAGAGGAGTCTTTGGTAGAGTTGTGAGCATTAAATGAGATTAGGCAAACAAAGTGATCAATATATAGAAAGGGTTCAATAAATGTTACCTAGGACAAATAAGCAAAATGACTTGCTCCTTCCATTGTTATTCTCTTCTTCCAACTTGAAACCTTTGTTTAAAAATAACCCCAGTCAAGATCATCTATATTTAAGTATAGCCACTAAGCAAAAGAAAAACAGAAAGAAAAAGAAGGCCTTGATTTGCACTTAAGACATTTGATATGAATTTTTCTGCAGCCAGAGTTGGCAGGGTTAATGTGCACCAGCTGAGAAGCCATGCTGTTACCTTCTGGCAGCCCATACACAGATGCTATTGTATTAATTACAGAAGAAAACGCCATTAACTCAGAAGTCTTCTGACTGTCAGAGAGGCAGCTGCTCCATCTCTGAAACAGGTTTCCTTCCTCCCTCCTACTGTCAGTCTACCACTTTTGATCTCTTCTTTAGAGAACTGCTAAGACTGCGCTGTTGGTCCTCAGAGCTCCTGGTGAGTTCAGTCAACTTTTTCATCTGTAGTTAGAGGAGTCCAGGGAGAGCTTGCATAATTAAGTTCATATATAAGTTGAAGTAAAATAAATACAATCAGACCAACCTTCCATCTCTTCCCCATCCTTACTCTTTCAACAGTTAAAACTGACAGTAGTTTAGAATTGGAAAGRATGTTAAAGAAGATCTAATCCAACTTCCTCCATTTACAGGTGAGCAATTCAAGGCACAAAAAGAGCAAATAGACTGCCAAAGTCATAGAGCAAGTCAGTGACAAAGCCTGGGATCAGAACATCTGCCTTCACTCTCGTGTTTTTCCCACTTCTGTGTTGTACACTTCATCACTACTGACCTTGTATGCCTAGAGAAGCAATAAGTAAAGACACCTGCGTTCAACTTCATTTCTCAGCCTGGCATGGTGGCACATGCCTTAATCCCAGCTACCTGGGAGGCTGAGACAGGAAGAGTGCAAGTTTGAGACTACCCTGGGCAACCATCAAGATCCTATCTCAAAATAAAATGATCTGGGGRTGTAGCTCAGTGTTAAAGTGCCCCTGAATCCAATCCTGCAGGGGGGAAGAAAAAAAGAAAGCAATGATCTTCTTCATTTCTTATGTCCATGTTTAAATCTCATAGACATGTTGGAGGTCAATGAAAAAAACCAAAGATATGTGTGGGGGGGTGGGGACAAAGGGCTTGGATAGTGATATATTGAAAAAGAGAGATAGATGATTACGTCCATCTTGAAGACCTTTCTTCAGTCCAGTAGGTTGTGCTTGGAACCCTTGCAGAGTACCTGAAAACAGAGAATTAGGATGGGGCTCAACTTCAGCCTTGCGCATTGAGCTGGTCTTTGGTTGTTTTGACAGTGGCAGTTTTATGTGTAGGTACTGTTTTTGTGGGAGAGATGGAGCAAAGGAGGTGATAATTTAGTGAGATGAATAATGGGGTGTGTCTCCCGTGATTTTGGCTGATGCTGCATGTTTTACTGGCTTTCCTATAGCTAGCACTTGGTCTCAGAGGTGTTGAGGCCTCTCCTTCTAGTTCTCAAAAGTAGTTTAGTTTGTTTTCTTCTGTAATAGCAGTAACAAAGCTCATGTAAATTTGCTGTTTTTATTTATTTTTTCCTTAGGAAACAACAACTTTTATTATAAGAATTTAAAGGTTGTCAATGTGAGTTGACTCCTGATACATGAAAATCTGGGCATGGGGCATGGGAAAAGAAGAAAGCTGGGGAGAGTAGATGAGAGAAGATAGTCTGGCTGGACTTTGAATGGTCAGGTTGACACTATGGCAGTTAAATTCTGCCAGATGATTGAGGAAGGTTCTWTTCTTTTGTCCATATATACTTTCTGGATTGAGTTAAAGGCATTTTTTTTAAGGAATAATAGTTCCCCTTAACTATTCTTCATGATACTGTACTTTTTTAAATACTTTGTGTATTCACTTGTAGGTTTCTGTAGACAASTCTCTATGATTCTGGATTCTGACCCAGAACAAACAAAAGTATAACTTTAAGCACTTCCTGTTTGTCAGTCATTATACTGGATGTCGAGGATACAGAGAGAAATAGGATGGTTCTTCATGGCTTTTGATAAGTATAAACAGATAATTAGTATAAACTATGATAAGTGTATAATTATGAACAAGGTACAAAGGGACCTTGTACACAAATGGATCTAGCCCTAGCCCATGCTACTTGCTAAGTGGCCACATAGACAATTGAYGAAGCACCCTTGCTTTTAGATCATAGGAGAAAGATTAACCAGTAGCCTGGTATTTTGCTCTCATGCTTATTAGTAAATATCTTGCACCAAATTAGGCACTCAATGCATGCTTTTTTATTTTTCTAAGGAACCCATCTTTTCCTCAGGAGACTAGATTTCCTTGTTTCAGTGTCTGGTATTGCTGATGTTTATTGCAGGCCAGAGTGATGCTCATATAGACAGGCATGAAAGGAAGAGCCTCAGTGAAATGCATAGAGAGGCCTGCATGAACACATACCTTTTTAACCCTTTTGGTGGTGCCATTTGTGGAGGAGCAGGAAGGTTTGAAATAGTAGTAGGGTAGGTTCATCCTGAAGTAAAAACACTTTTGAAGTAAATCAGGCCTCTTGCTTCAATTTTATGAACAAATCAGTCAGCCTATCACTGGTTTAATGTAGTTTATGGTAAAGTGACTAAAGCAAATACTATTTCGGTTAGTAGTACTGCCCCCAAAACTTAAATTATGATGTATGTGTTTGGCTTAAAGATTGGCCTTTCTGAATCTTAGATATAGGCAGGCCCTGGAGCTGAAAAAGTGGGAAAGGATCAAATTCAGGGAATCAACTTCTGGTTCTTTTTCCCCAAACAGAAGTTCTCTTGCTTTAGGAGGATTGTTGGTCTCTATTTAATAAATCTAGCATGCCTAGATTTTATCTCCACAGACAGTTCTTTCCTTTTGTCTTACTCAGGGTGTTGTCATCTATAAACAGAAGAAATATGACTTGATAGGAACTCTTGATCTTAATTGAGCACCTGATATTCTAAAAACAGATGACTTAGCAGCTGGGACATTGTCACCAGCTATCAAGAGAGATGAACTGGAAAATAGTCTAGAGCTCATGCAGTCTTTAAAAACTCTTCACTTCACTCTAAGTGTATATACAGATCAGCTCGAATATTTAGTTACAAAATATGTCATAAATAAGGAAAATAAGCTAAAACATATGGTAGAGAAATGTAAAAGACTTGTACATGTTTAAACTTTGGGTCTTCTTCAGGAGGTAAGTTTTAATTTTCACACACTGAGGTATGATTTCTTCCTGGACTCATGTCCTAGTAATTATCATTTTAATTATCTTGTGTTTGTGATACAGTTCTTGTAAACTTCTTAGGCTGTCTCTCCACTGGATGTAAAATAAGTGGGGAGAAGGGATCAGGTCACTGCYACCTTTAATAGCTTTTTCCCTGGGGATCAGCTGGGAAGGGACCTCTGTTTGGTATTTGATGAATGTTTTTTGACTGGTATGTTTTCCTGATATCTCCTTTAAGTGAAAGTCTTCTAGAAATTTTTCTTTTAGGTCCTGACAGCCTGAGTCTCTGTCTTCTCTTTCTCATTCTTCTCTCTTTATTCCTTTTTCCTCCACTTTCCCCTTCCCCTACCAGGTCAGCTGAGCTGCATTTCCTTCCCACCTAAGGAAGAGGAGTACCTCCAGCAGATTGTGGACTGCCTCCCCTGCATATTAATCCTTGGCCAGGATTGTAATGTCAAGTGTCAGTTGTTGAACCTGCTTTTGGGGGTACAGGTGCTTCCCACCACTAAGCTGGGCAGTGAAGAGAGCTGTAAGCTCCGGCGCCTTCGCTTCACCTATGGGACTCAGACCCGGGTCACCCTGGCACTCCCTGGACAGTATGAATTAGTGCACACGCTCACCGCTCACCAGGGCAACTGGGAGACCATCCCTGAAGAAGACTTGGAGGTTCAAGAGGACAGTGAGGATGCTGCTCATGTTTTAGCTGAATTGGAGGTGACGATGCACCATGCCCTCTTACAGGTACCAGTCTCATACCTCAGTTGTTCACATACATACTAGCTTTTATTTTGACTTCTTGAAAAAGTGGTTTGGCAATATGTACTCTGAGCTCTGAACAGCATTTTATGTAATCAGAGGAACAAAATCTAGAAAGTTGAAAACAGATAAGGGCATAGCATCACCCATCCCTGTTTCTGCCCATGATATTGCAAGGGAGTAATTCTGGAAGAAAAGGAATATGTGGCTGCCTCTAATACCAGCATTTTAGGAGCCTTAGGCAAGAGGATCTCGAGTTTCAAGCTAGCTGAGGCAACCTAGTGAGACCCTGTCTCAGAATAAAAAGGGCAGGGCTGAGATTGTGGCTCAGTAGTGGAGTGCTTGCCTAGCACGTATGAGACACTGGGTTCAATTCTCAGCACTACAGAAAAATAAAATAAATATAGTATCCATCTACAATTAACAAAATATTTAAAAAATAAAAATAGAAAGTAAAAAGGGCTAAGGATGTGATAAARTGCCCCCAGGTTCAATCCCTAGTACCCCTCCAAAGAAAATAAAAGGAATATGTGATAATCTGATGATTGCATCTTGGTAAGCTTTTATTGAATAGTTATCATCAAGGTTAGTTCATTTTTTTTTTTTTAATTTCTTGGTGGAAGGATGTTGTTGGAATTGTTTCTTTCTCTTTCAAGAAGGTTAAGATGATAGACAATTAATGCTCTTATTAGAATTGAGACCACGTGAAAATTTCTGTGGGTTTTTCCTTAGATCTAGTCATTAATTTACTGAGTGGGACTGGTCATTTCTCTTACGTTAGAAGGAATGCAGGTCTGGTTCAATTTAAGGAGACATAGTAGTCCTGTCATTTGAAGAATATCTTGGCTTCTCTCTTGAAGTAACCTCACTAAGAGAGCATAGGTGCTGTGTCATATCCTAGGAGATCAGGTGTCTAGCATTCTTACCTCCACTTGGAAGGGYTCTCTTTATCCCCCGGGCTTCCCTTGGAACAGAATAGCTAGGGCTAGGCATTTGCCTACACCAAATGATGGTCAGTAAAGCATGAGACTATGCCAGGGGTCAGGAATGGATATGAAGAAAAGAATGCAGTGATATTAAGAATGSGGAATTTATCAACTGGGGTAGCAATGCTGGGAAGGGTGGACTAGTTTAGCAAGATTTGGGAGAATGTTTTTTTCCTTTCTTATTACTACTTTATATACTCCTCTTGGTCTCTCAGTCAGTGAATGAACCCTTTGGTGTGGCTGTACCCTGGGATACTCTATAAGTAGAAACTGCCTTCTAATTTCCTTCCGCATATTTCTTTTATCTTCGTGTGCTAGAGGGGGCTGTGTAACAAGCTCCCACTTTTTCTTGGCTCAGTTTTAGTGGTGGGTTTTCTCTGTGTTCAGACTACAAGCTTACACTTCTTAGCTCCAGGTCAGTGTGAAAATTCTTTGATKAACTCTTGACAGTAACTCTGGCAGTAATCCTTGTTTATTAAGATCAATACCTGTTCAGTTGATCCATGAACTKCTTCATAGTTCATCAATATTTGATTCATATTTAATGTCTCTGTGATATTATAGTGATATATAGTTCCTTTATGGTTTCATTCACTCAACAGTTTTCARAAGTTTTTAGATTTTAATTCACTATAAGAAATACATTTTTGGTCCTGTCCTYTGCCACACATGGGTGGACTTGGAGGACATTAAGTGATATAAACCAGACAAAAAAACAATACTACATGATCTCACTTATATGTGAGATCTTTTAAAAAGGGTCAAACATACAGAGAGAATAAAAACAGGGTTTCAGTGGGTGGGTAAGAGAGTGGAGTTTTCGGGGAGGAAATGAAGAGATGCAGGTCAAAGGTTACAAGGTAGCTGATATGGGGCTGGGGGTTCTGCTCAGTGGTAGAGCCCTTGTATAGGGACATCAGTCCTGGGGTTTCATTGTGAGGTGTAATGTTGTGGGTTTAAAAACTAGCAGATATGTAGGATCTAACAGGTCTAGAGATCTAGAGGACTACAGTTAATAAAATTGTATTGTGTTGGAGATTTTTTAAAAAATAACTAAATTTTAGCTGCTCTTATCATATAAGAGTAACTATGTGAGATGATAGATATGTTGATTTGCTTCACTGTAGTAATCATTTTATTATTTWTGTGTTCCATAACATTACAATGTAACTCTTTGAATATGCACATTAAAACTGACTTTAAAACAAAGAGGAAATATATTTTCCATCAGGATCCAGTATATACATAAACATAGACATATGTTTTTGAAATGAAAGTTGCATGAAGCAATACTTTTACTTCCTAAAATGTACACTGATATTTTCTTCTCTATTTGACTTGATTTTTTAAAAAATAATGACAATAACCCACTAAATTGATGCATGACCTGATACACTGTGACCTCTGTGTTAACAAACACTGTCACAAGCTGAGTGCTATGRCATATTCCTGTAATCCCAGCAACTCTGGATGCTAAGGCAGGAAAATCACCAAATTCCAGGATAGCCTGGGCAACTTAGTGAGACCCTATCTCAAAATAAAATAAGAAAAAGGGCTGGGGGAGTAGCTCAATGGTAGAGCATTTACCTAGCATGCATGAGGCCCTGAGTTCAATCCCCAGTATCAAAAACAAACAAAAACCAAGCCATTCTTGAATAGCTGAAATGACCCTGCTGTAAGTTGGGTGGTGATTTTTCCCATTCTTGCCTTACAGCCTTGGAATGTAAACAGAGCCATCTGTAGAAGAGGCAAGTTATTTGATTCTCTGTGTCCTTTCATTTAAAAAATTCGGGTKGGGGGTGTTACTGGGGATTGAACTCAGGGGCACTCAACCACTGAGCCACACCCCCAGCCCTATTTTATATTTTATTTAGAGACAGGGTCTTACTGAGTTGGTTACGCCTTGCTTTTTGCTGAGGCTGGCTTCGAACTCGTGATCTCCTTCCTCAGCCTCCCGAGCCACTGGGATTATAGGCGTGCAGTGCTCCCACCTTGTCCTTTTATTTTAAAAATTTAAATCCTTCCCCGTTGACATGGCTTCCTTTTTCCCTTCGCTTCCCTTCCCTTCYAGGTGCTGTTGATCAAACCCAGGGCTTTGTGTGTGCTAGGCACACTCTACCACTGCACTATTCTCACAGCCCTAATTGGTTTAAATTTCTAATGCTCATTTACTTTTTTTTTTTTTTTTTTGGTACTGGGGATTGAACTCAGGGGCACTCAATCACTGAGCCACATTCCCAGCCCTATTTTGTATTTTTTTTATTTGGAGATAGGGTCTCACTGAATTGCTTAGTGCCTCTCCATTACTGAGGCTGGCTTTGAACTCGAGATCTTCCTGCCTCAGCCTCCCCAGCTGCTGTGATTACAGGCATGCGCTGCTGTACCCRACTCTCATTTTCTTTTGTTCCATGAGTTGAAGTGATAAAAGAAAGTGCAAGCTGTTCCCCTAAGTATTTACTAAAAGTTTCCAGGGCTTTCTCCTGATATGTGCTAAGCATACAAACTGAGGTCACAATTGATGAGGAATTGGAATTGCAGTGTCAAATCAGTTTTCTCTGGGCTCATTTAAGATGTAGATTCTCATTCTTCTTCAGGAATTCTGTAGCCTCTCATGTTATTTTATGTGGTTGGTGGGGCTTCCTTAGCCAGTGTTTCTCCGGATCTGCTTTATTCTCTAGTGGTTTTGATGTAAAACTGGTAACAGACCCTAGTGGTCTAAGTTTAGAACCCCTTGATGCTGAGCACCAGAGGCCCTTCCAGCCTTTGCGGAATTCAGGCACTGCCCTTTGGCTATAATTGGGCTCCTGTCTCTGTAAACACATCAGAGGTGCCTCAGYTCACTATTGGAATCTGTGCATGGCTACCTGGAAGATTGTTCTACCAGTGAGAAAGATCTTTTTGTTTAGCTTCAGTTATTTAGGACCACTGAGTTCACTCTAAACAGCCCTTCTATTTGGTTTGTAAAGAGGGTGGCAAAGAAAGGAAGCATTTAGCTAAAGGAAATGAAGATTGAATTAGGGGAAATGGGATCTTCATTTTGAACTGTCAGATTATCAAAGCAGAGTTTCCCCCTGCACTCTTGTACAATGGCCATTCTTCTAAGATATTATTTTAAAGTCCTCATAAATTAGCCATTTTCACTTTGTTTCAGAATAGTCCAGTTCACATGGACCCGCACTGCTTGGTATTCCCAGCTTTTTAGTCTGGCTTCYGTGGGATTCTTGGTTCACTATTCAATAACAGAGGGACACTGTCAAGCTGTTAGTATCTGAAACCTGGTTTGGTGTTAAAATATATTGTTCTTTCAATTGTAACATATTTTGCCATTATCCATACTCACTGTATCTATTCTTTGTATACAAAAGTAATTCTTGGGCTGGGGTTGTGGCTCAGTGGTGGAGCACTCACCTAGCACATTTGAGGCYCTGGGTTTGATCCTCAGCACCACATATAAATAAACAAAATAAAGGTATTATGTCCAYCTACAATCTTAAAGAAAAAAAAAAGTACTTCCTCACCCTCAATCCCTCTTTCTAGCACCTTCCACCTTTCTTTTTAATTTCTTCTTATAGGTTTGATAGAACCATTGTTGGCGTCTCAGTTACTCAGTCTGATTGTGTGTGTATCTCTTCTTTTCACCTGTGAACGTCTGTAAGAAAAGGAATAAAAAGGTGTAAACAGCAGCCATAATTGGATTCCAATAGTGAGCTGAGTCACCTCTGATGTGTTTAACAGAGACAGGAGCCCAATTATGGTGGTTCAAGGTGTTTGGTCCACAGCTGCTGTAGCCTAGCAGTGTTGCTCCATTTACTGTGATAGTTAAACAGCTGCAATGTTCTGCCCTTTTCTCCACTAGGTACTTTCTGGCCTTTTGGACAAATGTACATGTCACCTGTGTCACACAGCTGCATGGATATTGGCTGATGGTGATACCTAGTGGGCTGATGAAGACTAATATTTCCAGGCAAGGTCAATGACTTGCAAATAAACTTATTTAAA